GACATGGTTTACATTAATTTTCAATTTTCAGTAGTAAATTTCATACATAAATAAGTTTATCTCTGAAATTAATTTCCATCGAGGAAATCTAAAAGTAAATAAAGAAAAAAGAACAGGTGAAACCCAATGTCTTAAGGGAATCTTTCCTAAAATTGTTGTTTGGATAAGCCTCTGACCATGGTCTAAGATCTGTTAATCACCTCTGTGGGGCACCAGTCCCCAGATCTACACCACATTAACATACTAGCCTTTGGACTCCTACATAAACACTATTTGGAGCACAAAAAGACCAGGGGAGGGCTCTCCTGGTTTAATTAGGTAGAGATCCACCCACAAATGTATCCAACAGGAGTGTACATGAAAAGACTACACACATCCCATCAAAAATACATTTAACAAACCAAATTCATCAACTTTTCCACCAGTCCCACAAATAGTTTTTCTCCAACATTCACATTAGAGATTTCACTGAATTGTAGTGCAGCTGTTGCATTTAAATGCAAATGTGATTGTGGTGTTAGCACAGTAGTCGGGGCTAATCAGTATTTCATGGACTCTGTAACTTGCCAAAGAAGAATCCTTCTGAGTACCCGTGAAATGAAAGTTCATCATCATGGGAACATGGGTACCTTTGGACTATTGTAAGAACACGGCAGCTGTGAATTCTTCCCTCCTGAAACGTAAATATGTTCTAATTTTCTTTCTAGTTTACTCTCCACATCATTCTGTACATTCAAATTATGTTTAAATATGTTTGCTTCATTTGTGTTACATTTCATGGGAAAACCTGTTTCAGTGAAAACATCACATGCCTCTTTTTTAGCATCTGTTTCTTCTGATTGTGGTTTCTCCTTTTTCATGTCATGTTCACTTTTAAGTTAAAATTACAATCATAGCGGGCGCCTGGGTGGCTCAGTTGGTTAAGCGACTGCCTTCGGCTCAGGTCGTGATCCTGGAGTCCCGGGATCGAGCCCCGCATTGGGCTCCCTGCTCAGCAGGGAGTCTGCTTCTCCCTCTGCCCTCTTCCCTCTCGTGCTGTCTCTCATTCTCTCTCTCTCAAATAAATAAATAAATAAATCTTTAAAAAAAAAATTACAATCATAGCTAAATTTGTACCCAGGGCTAAAATCAATATAAAATAGTTTACAGCATAAAGGAAAAGTCCAAAATTTGGATTCACAACATAAAATTACATAAAGTGTATTTCCAGTTTAACACTTCCAATAAGGATACCTGAATTCCTATGTGACCCAAAACGTAAACTCAGCTGTTAATGTTTTTCCCCTGATAAACCTAGCAAACATATATTTTAGAAACTGTACATGCCTCATGGATGCTCACTGCCTTCTTCAGTGGTATAGCACACCTAAAGTACTGTGTTCATTTGTCAATTCATAATCAAAGGCATTTGATAAACCATGGTGAGTCCAATGGATAGCAACCAGAAAAGTATACTAATTGAACATCATACAGTATTAGAAGCAGCTGACGGCCATCAAACAGTCTAGGAATATAAATCTAAGAGTATATTTGATAAGAGGTTCTAATATTAAAAGAAACTCAAAAGACATATAAAAAACTTTTAATGAGCCAAACTAAACAATATTGTCTACAGATGCACATTTGTGTAATCAAGCTATTAAATACAAGAAGGTGATTACTAGGGGCACCTGAGTGGCGCAGTTGTTTAAGTGGTCAACTTTTGGTTTTGGATCAGGGTGAGATCTCAAGGTCCTGAGACTGAGCCACGCCTCGGGCTCTGCACGCAACTCAGTCTGCTTGAGTTTCTCTCCCTCTCCATCTGCCGCTTCCCCCCAAACTCTCTCTCTAAAATAAATAAATGTTTGGGTTTTTTTTTTTTTTTAGATTTTATTTATTTATTTGACAGAGAGAGACACAGCGAGAAAGGGAACACAAGCAGTGGGGAGTGG